GTCCCTCGGCCCTTAAAGGGGAAAGGTTGCCTACCCCTGTCCTAGAGGAATGGCTTAAAAGGTGTTGCTATCCAAGGTATGTCAGTGTTACTTTAAATGATGGGGAAATTAACTTTTCAAGAGTTTGAGTAACCTTTAGGATCATTGACACATGTGTATACCAGTAACTGTGGAGTATTCCTGGTTTGGTTGACTTAAGAGAGTTTTAGTTAGAGTGCAATCACTCTGCAGGATAGCAATTCACACACACAGCATTCAGAGCTAACTGAAATGAAAATGTGGAAAATGAATAGCAGAGTTCCCCAAGAAAGACTTAGGGGACTGGGCATGTTTAGCCTGGAGAAGAGACAGTTAAAAGGTGATATGATAGCCCTGTTTAAATATTTGAAGGGATGTCATATTAAGAAGAGAGCTAGCTTGTTTTCTGCTGCTCCAGAGAATAGGATCTGGAACAACAGATGCAAGCTACAGGAAAAGAGATTCCACCTGAACATTAGGAGGAACTTCCTAACAGTGAGAGCTGTTCAAATGTGGAACACACTCCCTTAGAGTGTGGGGGAGTCTCCTTCTTTGGAGGTCTTTAAACAGAGGCTGGATGGCCATCTGTCGGGTATGCTTTGATTTTAAGTTCCTGCATGGCAGGGGGTTGGACTGGATGCCCCTTGTGGTCTCTTCTAGCTCTATGATTTTATGATTCTATGAGGTATGTAAAGAAGGCAATATTTACCTGTCTGAAGAGGAGGCCATAGAACATGGGAGTGCCTCAGACTGGGGTTTGAGGGCAACACAGAACATATACAGAATGCAGCATGGGATAACTGTATGTGTACTGTGTGCTGAGAAGTTAGGTTTTTGAGATCAATATTTATACTTGAAAACTACCCTCTAGGGATGTGCTATCTTGTAAGGTAACAAAGACTTGATGTTCTTTCCCAAGAATTAACAATGGGATTCCAATTCATAATGGGATTAGCTGATGGCCTTAACTTGATTGGATCAGAATAACCACAGGGTGAATGGACAGTGGCCATTGAATGGACACAAAACAGTGATTGGATCAGGATAACCCCAGGGTGAATGCACAGACAGGGAGGTTGGCAGGAAGAACAGCAGGAGGTAGGCAGAGAGAACTGGCTTACTACTTCAGTACAATGAGACCTCCTTTGTCTTTTGGCATAAGAGGAAATGTAGAGGACTTGGGGGAAGAAAGGAGCAATTAGTCCATACATTTAACATTTATTGTATTCTTGCATGGATCGTCCACATGACTCAGGTTTTCACTCCTTTTCTCCTGGTAACCTTATCTAGTATTCCTAAAGGTCATTGTGGCCTTTGAAGAACATGGTGGCTCCAGACATGAAATATGAAAATGACAGAACCTCAACATAGTGTATGTATGGTGTGCTGACAGTGTGCTGATAGTGTAGAGAGATTGTTTATCACTTTTGCGGATGATACAAGGCCAAGGAAAGTAGCCAAAACCAAGAAAGACAAGATCAAGATTCAAAAGGTCTATGGACTGGAAAACTGGACTGAAACTAAGAATACGAGAACATTTGGTTAATTATACTGAGAATGTTACCTCTCTATTTTATGCTGCAAGGGGATTTATTTTGGTTAGACTACAAAATCTAACTCCAGTCATTTGGGAAGGAGCTACTTTTCTTTCGGGAAACCCCTTTAGTTTTCTTCTTGTTTAGTAGAACTCTTCTTGAAATTAAAAAAAATGATCTGCATCCTGTTTACAGCCATATTTCAGACTGATGATTGGTATATCCAGTTTCCTCTTTGTGTGCTACATTATTACAAGTGAACTCAATACTTGTTTGTTCTTGATCTGGTCTCAGATTCCCCCCTCCCTAAATATGTTAATAATAATAATAATAATATGATTTATTTATATACCGCCCCTCTGGCTAGCCAATCTAGGCGGTGAACAACAGTAGTACCTAATACAATACAAAAAATACAATAATACAACAATAATACAATAATACATTACAGCAAGTTAAAAATATCCTTCCCTCCTCCCCGAACATCAATAATACAGTAACACATTACAATAATACAATACAATAATACAAACCAATAATACATTACAGCAAGTAAATCAAATCCTTCCCTCCTCCCCAAACACCCCCACCCCCAAAACAAATCAACAGACAAATTAAAACAGTCATTATAAAAATACAAAGTACATAGTTGAAGTTAAGACTCTCCCCAGTCTCTCCAATCTCCATAGCACAAGCGCTTG